GAAGCAACGAATTTCACTATAGATCAACTGATACAATAGGGATTACAACCACACTCGAGTCACTCAAACACTCTCGGTGTCTTCCAAGACCCAATTACACCCAATAAATCAAATAGTATTTAGCCCAAAATTCTTCACGAAATAATCTCTCAATCTCTCGAAGGAATTAACAAATCTTACCACAAGATTTAATCTCACAAACACACTCGAATATCTTCAAGGTGTGATTCACAAGTAAAAGCTCATCTTTGATGATCTTCACAAATAACATCACATTCTTATATAAAGCTAAGAATTAGATCTAAAATAGCAAATCTCCTTTTAGGAAACCTTCTCCAATTAGGAAACATTTTCCAATCAGGAAACCATACAATTAGGAAACCTATTAAAACTTGAATTAGGAAACTTTCCCATTCAGGCTAAAAATCGAGACATAATTTTAACAATGATACCATTTGTTGGGAGCACGTAGCAGTAGCCCAATAACTTCAACGAGGGAGATCCCCAATGGGGAGCCCAAGTTCGAGCCCGTCAACATATCCAGTTGGACCCACCTTCACTCAAAAGCTTAAGCTAATGAGTTATGGGCAAACTCGGATATATTAATTACTCAACACCATATCAAATCTCTGATGTAGGACTTCTCTAACACAACTCACATGTCTATTTCAATAATATCCCCATGACTTGTTAGCTCAGTATTAAATATGCTCCCCCTTAATTTAAGTATCCTTCTGTACCAACATATCTCAAGTTGAATATCCACACCATTGTAATACACCATGAACTATGTATAGCAACTATCATCAACTGCTAATTTGGGATTGCATCACCTATGATCTCTATCTCGCGTCACGAGACCAACTGTCCATGGTCTCTTCTCGTCAAACCAACCGTAATGGCAATTTCCACTTGAAACAAGCGTCGATCATAAGATTTCTTTCTTGAGATATTCACCAAACACCGAAACAAATTGGGAGTGGGCTACCAATCAACCATCGGCTCTGATACCATTTGTTGCGGAAGCAAGAGATCGAATAATTAAACAGAAAGAACAAGGAAATAAATCTGACACTAGATTTACTTAGTTCGGTCGTAGTTACCTACGTTCACGGAGAGAGTAGCAACGAATTCCACTATAAATCAAGCGATACAGTGGAGATTACAACCACACTCGACTCACTCAAACACTCTCGGTATTTCCTAAGCTCAAATTACACCCAATAAATCAAACAGTGTTTAGCCCACAATTTTTCACGAAATAATCTCCCAATCTCATAAATAAATTAACAAATCTTACCACAAGATCTATTCACTCAAACACACTCGAATATTTTCAGGGTGTAATTCACAAGCAGAAGCTCCTCTTTGATGATCTTCACAAATAACATCCCCATCTTATATATAGGCAGAAATTGGATCCAAATTAGCAAACCTTTTTTTTTGGAAACCTTCTCCAATTAGGAAATATTTTCCAACTAGGAAACCATTCAATTAGGAAACCTATTCAAATTTGAATTAGGAAACTTTCCTATTCAGATAATTTTAACAATTATACCATTTGTTAGGAGCACGTAGTAGTAGCCCGATACCTTCAACATGGGAGATCCCCAATGGAGAGCCCAAGTTCGAGCCCGTCAACATATCCAGTTGGACCCACCTTCTCTCGAAAACTTAAACCAATGAGTTATGGGCCAACTTGAATATATTAAATGCTCAACACCATACCAAATCTCCGATGTGAAACTTCTCTAACACAACTCACATGTCTATTTCAACAATCTCCCCCTCACTTGTAAGCTTAGTGTTAGGTATGCTCTCCTTAATTCAAGTATCCTTCTACACCAACATATCTCATGTTGAATCTCCACGCCATTGCAATGCACTCTTAACTATGCATGGCAACTATCATCAACTGCTAAATTAGGGTTGCATCACCCGTGGTCTCTATCTCGCGTCACGAGACCAACTGTCCATGATCTCTTCTTGCTAGACCAACCGCAATGGCAATTTCCACTCAAAACAAGTGTCGATCATGAGATTTTTTTCTTGAGATATTCACCAAACACCGGAACAGATTGGGAGTGAACCACCAATCAACTATCGGCTCCGATACCATTTGCTGCGGAAACAAGTGATCAAACAATTAAACAGAAAGAATAAGAAAATAAATCCGACACCAGATTTACTTGGTTCAGTCATAGTTACCTACGTCCACGGGGAAAGAAGCAACGAATTCCACCATAAATCAAGTGATGCAATGGAGATTACAACCACATTCGAATCACTCAAACACTCTCGGTGTCTCCCAAACCCCAATTACACCCAATAAATCAAACAATGTTTAGTACATAATTCCTCACGAAATAATCTCTCAATCTCTCGAATGAATTAACAAATCTTACCACAAGATTTAATCGCTCAAACACACTCGGATATCTTCAGGGTGTGAGAAACTCATCTTTGATGATCTTCACAAATAACATCCCCTTTTTATATATCGGCGAGAATTAGATCCAAAACAACAACTCTCCTTTCAGGAAACCTTCTCCAACTAAGAAACCATTCAATTAGGAAACCTATTAAAACTTGAATTAGGAAACTTTCCTATTGGGGCTCAAAATCGAGACGTAATTTTAATAATGATACCATTTGTTAGGAGCACGTAGCAGTAGCCTGATACCTTCACTGGGGGAGATCCCAATAGGGAGCCGAAGTCCGAGCCCGTCAACATATCCAGTTGGACATATCTTCACTCAAAAGCTTAAGCCAATGAGTTATGGGCCAATTTGAATATATAAACTGCTCAACACCATACCAAATCTTCGATGTGGGACTTTTATAACACAACTCACATGTCTATTTCAACAATCTCCTCCTCATTTATAAGCTCAGTGTTAGGTATGTTCTCCCTTGATTCAAGTATCCTTCAGCATCAACATATCTCAAGTTGAATCTCCACGTCATTGCAATGAACCCGTAACTATGCACAGCAACTATCATCAACTGCTAACTTAGGATTGCATCACCCGTGATCTCTATCTCGCGTCACCAGATCAACTATTCATGGTCTCTTCTCACCAAACCAACCGTGATGGCAATTTCCATTCGAAATAAGCATCGATCATGAGATTTCTTTCTTGAGATATTCACCAAACATCGGAACAAATTGGGAGTAGGCCACCAATCAATCATCGGCTCTGATACCGTTTATTGCAGAAGCAAGCGATCGAACAATTAAACAAAAAGAACAAGGAAACAAATCCGACACAAGATTTACTTAGTTTGGTCGTAGTTACCTACGTCCACGGAGAGAGCAACAATTAATTTCACTATAGATCAAGCGATACAAATGGAGATTACAACCACACTCGAGTCACTTAAACACTATCGGTGTTTCCCAAGCCCCAATTACACCCAATAAATCTAATAGTATTTAGCCCACAATTCCTCACGAAATAATCTCTCAATCTCACGAAGGAATTAACAAATCTTACCAAAAGAGTTAATCGCTCAAACACACTCGGATATCTTCAAGGTGTAATTCACAAGCAGAAGCTCATCTTTGATGATCTTCACAAATAACATCCCCTTCTTATATATAGGCAAGAATTGGATCCAAAATATGGAAACCTCTTTTTAGAAAACTTTCTCCAATTCGAAAATATTTTTTCAACTAGGAAACTATTCAATTTGGAAACCTATTCAAAATAGGAAATCTATTTAAATTAGGAAACTTTCATATTCAGGCTCAAAATTGAGACATAATTTTAACAATCTTGACTTTGGCTCGATGTTTGAGCCAAGTCACAGTCGCTTCGTCGGAACTTTTCTACTACTCTCCCATAGCCCCAATGGGCTCAATCGCCACAGACATCGTCCAAGTCCAAGCCGCGCTTAAATTTCGCCACCATCATGGATCTCATCAAACATCAACTCCACATGCACTTTTAACTGCTCCACAGACAACCTTCTCAATCGCAGATAAAGCAAAATCAACGTTGCATCCATATCTATCAAGAGATCGAACACGTACCTTATTAATATCAGCAGATACAGTAACCGTTGATTCTATGGGCTCTACCTCGCTACAAGCACCATCTATGTCGATTATTCTACTAGTACCCGCTACCTCAGGAGTTTCTGGTTGCAACTCCACCTTAAGCTGAACACCGTCCAAATCCATATGAACACTGCTAATAACACTCCTAACCAGAAGTATTGGAGACCCGTCAAATGTAACTTTTCTGCTAATAATAGGTGAATTTAATTTCGAGCATCACAACCGATAGCCTCGCTCACCTTATGCATAACCTAAGGAAATGCACTTTCTTGCCCCTCCATGGAGCTTACCATCACTAACTCGAACATAACATGGGCAACTAAATATTCTAATAACAGAATAATTAGCAACGTTACTTGACCACACTTCTTTGGGAGTTTGACATCCGATCATAGTCGATAACGATCTATTCACTAGGTAGCTCGTTGTACTAAGCGCATCCGCTGGGAATCTCCTAGCCATACCAGCACTAGAGAGCATTTTATAGGCTACTTCTAGTGATGTTCTACTTATCAACTTTGCAACATGTTGTGATTCATTGACACTAGTGCAGTATCTCACTATGCCTTCCTTCATGCAGAATCCGTTTAACTGCTCTGAACAAAACTCCACACTATTATCAATCCACACATGCTTGATCATTTTACCAGTCTCCTTTTTTATCAAAACTCTCAACTGCATGATATTGACAACAGTATCAAACTTGTGCCTAAGCACAAATACCCAAGTCTTTCTCGAGTAGTCATCCATAAGTGTGCACAAGCGCTACGCATGACATTAATCATTGGGGTCTCATCAACCACCAAATGTCATGGTGCTAATCGCTCTAACGCTCAATTTTGGGCCAACTGGAACAAGGTCATCTCGGGTGGCCAACATACACACCCAAGTCCCACCCGTCCAATTCAAGGCGAAGGGTTAGGGGCAACACCATATGTGACACCCGGGAAAACGTGCTCTCGATCAAATGGCTTCGAGCGCAACTTACGTTCAAAGACTTAATGGTTCATGGGATTTTGCAATTCACACCAAGTATCACAGTTCGCTACATTCTTCATCAATGCGAGAGCCGAGATATTCGTTGCCGAGAGTCGTTATAAATAATAGAAGATTGCATGGCATCCCACACACGCACCATGTATGGGGTGATGGGAGCATACTCTCTTGTTCAAGTTTCTTGGCGTATTTCGCTCCGAGGTTCGTTGTGCCACCAAGAAAAGCCCATACGCCATAGGCACCCGTGCCATCCAAGCGTCTGGCGACGTTGGGCAAAGCTCGCCGTCCCCACTGAGTTTGTTACTAGTTCTCTGGTCATTTTGCTAAATAAGATTCGACAATGATCCTTCTGCAAGTTCACTTATGGAAACCTTGTTACGACTTCTCCTTCCTCTAAATGATAACATTCAGTGGACTTCTCGCGACGTCATCGGAGGCAAATCGCCCACGTCGCCGCGATTCGAACACTTTACCTGACCATTCAATCAGTAAGAGCGATGCGTGGTGTGTACAAAGGGCAGGGACGTAGTTAACGCGAGCTGATGACTCGCGCTTACCAGGAATTTCTCGTTGAAGACCAACAATTGCAATGATCTATCCCCATCACGATGAAATTTCAAAAATTATTCAGGCTTGTTAGCCATTCGCAGTTTCACAGTCTGAATTAGCTCATACTTATGCATGCATGGCTTAATATTTGAGACAAGTGTCATGGGTCGATCGATTAACGACGATCCCACACCCGTGCGGCCTTAGGATTTCTCCCAAGTCAGCCTTGCACACACACACTCGAACTCACAAAAATATAGAGAAAGCTGCGTAGTTGTATTTCTTGCAAGAATAAGCATATACAAATGAAAGGGAAGGGTCCCCTATATATACAAGCGCGGGTCTAATCTGATCCGTTGATCCCATCATGATCCAATGGTGGTGTTTGAACCGATACCATCATTACATAGCTACTCAAGAAGTTGCAGAGGCCCTAGGGGCGTAGGGAAGCTCAAGGGACGCCTGCCAAGGGAAGCTGGAGGGTTGTGTGTCAAAAGCAACTGAAGGGTCGCAGACGGTGTTCGCGCCTAGTCACGGATGGGCCACATCCCATGCACGCATGGGCCATATCTCGTTCATGGACAGCCTCGTAGCCCTTCGTTCCCTTGGGCCGTGTCATTCTCCCCCACCTAATCGGGCGACGCCCTTGTCGCGTCTTTGGCATGGAATGCGTCAATGTGCTTCCAAAACTACCAAAGAGCTTCGGAGGGTTCCCAGCTTGTTTCACTCTCCGGAAGGCCTTTCCAACGGACCAAGTATTCTCGCCTCGACACCCGGTACTTCTTCCGTATGATCCGATCGGCCATAATGCACTCGACGTCTCGGTCATATGAGGTTTTTGCCCCAAGCGGTGCCCGCTGCGATTCTCCTCGGTCCGGGTCTTCTTCATCTACACGGAAAGGCTTAAGCATACTTACACGGAACACCGGGTGTAGCTTTAGCTTTGGTGGCAAGTCCAGCTTGTATGCAACCTTTCCAACCCGTTTGAGAACTTGGAAGGGCCCCTCGTAGCTACGGATCAAGCCTTTGTGCACGTCTCTGTATCGGAGGACTGCGTTTAGCTTGGCTAACACTAGGTTCCCGACCTGGAATTCCATGTGCCGTCGCTTCTTGTCGACCCATTTCTTCATGCGTTTGGATGCCTTGTGTAGCCCGCACCAAGTCCGCTTGCTCATGCCATTCTTTGGCGAACTTGTACGTGGATGGGCTATTTCCTCAATAGCCCGATGCAACCATGCTCGGAGTGAGCGGTTGTTGCCCCGTCACGATCTCGAACGGGCTCTAGTTTGTGGACTCGCTTCGCTGTAAGTTGTATGAGAACTGAGCTACGTCGATCAGTCTTGCCCAATTTACCTGTGTTGTGCTTACATAGTGCTGGAGGTATATTTCGAGAAGTGCATTCACCCTCTCCGTCTGTCCATCAGTTTGGGGATGCAAACTCGTGGAGAAGTTGAGATTCAACCCCAGCAACTTGAAGAGCTCAGTCCAAAACCGCTCAGTGAACCGAGGATCGCGATCGCTCATGATCATCCGTGGGACTCCCCAGTATTTGACGACGTGCTTGACGAATGGCTTGGCCACCTCCTCGGTCGGACAATCCTTTGCTGCGGACACGAACATTGCGTACTTGGAGAATCGATCCACTACGACCATGAGGGTCCGACATCCTTCGGACTTGGGTAGATTCACAATGAAATCCATGGAGAGACTCTCCCATGGACGTTCCGGGACGGGAAGTGGCTCAAGGAGCCCTGACGACGAACGTTGCTCGATCTTATCTTGTTGGCACACGAGGCATGTCCTCACATATGCCTCAACGTAGTCTCGTAAGTAAGGCCAATAGTACTGGTCCTCGACGAGCGTCATAGTGCGGTGGATTCCCGGATGTCCCGCCCATTTTGAATCATGGCACTCTTGCAGCACCTCCTTCCTTAGTCTCCCGTAAAGCGGCACATATAGTCGTTGTCCCTTGGTGTAGAGGAGATCGTCCTCCCACCAGAATTGCCTGATTTTGCCTTCCCGTGTGTACTCAAGAAGTTGCCGAGCCGTTGAATCACGCTTGAGCCCTTCCTTGATACGGTCGATCCATGGGCAGCTAGGTCGACTTATGATGTTGGCCAGCTCCGTCTTTCGGCTCAAGGCATCGGCCACCGAATTGGCCTTTCCTGGTTTATACTCCAGCATGTAGTCGAACTCGGCAAAGAAGTCCTGCCATCGAGCTTGTTTTGGACTCAGCTTCTTTTGGGTCTGAAAATAGCTCGCGGCCACGTTGTTCGTCCGCACGACAAACTTTGATCCTAGGAGATAATGCCTCCAAGTACGAAGGCAGTGCACCACCGCGATCATCTCCTTTTCTTGGACCGTGTAACAACGTTCGGTCTCATTTAGCTTCCGAGACTCGAACGCCACCGAGTGTCCATCCTGCATGAGAACACCACCTATCGCAAAATCGGAGGCGTCAGTCTCTACCTCGTAATGTTTGGCATGATCGGGTAGCACGAGCACTGGCTCCTCGATCATGGCCCGCTTCAGCCGATCGAACGCTTCTTGGCATCGACCCGTCCACTCCCACGGCTTTTCTTTCTTCAACATGTCCGTGAGTGGCACGGTGATGGTTGAATATCCCTGAATGAAGCGTCGATAGTAATTTGTGAGGCCGAGAAACGACCTCAACCTCAACTCAGTTACCTTAGTCGAAGGCTCCCATTCGACCATAGTACGGATCTTGGCCATGTCCATCCGTACTTGTCCGTCCTCAACGAGATGCCCTAAGAACGGTATAACCCGTTGGGCAAAGGCACACTTCTCGCATTTAAGGAACAGGTCGTTCTCACGCAAGACCTGGAAAACTCGTCTCAGGTGCTCGACATGCTCCTCGAGCGTCCGGCTATAGACAACAATGTCGTTAAGGTAAACCACAACAAACCGATCAAGGAACGGGTGAAGTACCTTATTCATTAAGGTGCAGAATGTGGTCGGCGCATTGGTCAAGCCAAATGGCATGACGAGGAACTCATACGATCCGTATCGTGTTACGCATGCGATCTTTGGCTCGTCCCCTTCGGCAATCCGTACTTGGTAGTAACCCGACCGAAGATCAAGCTTGGTGAACCACCGGGCTTCCCCAAGCTGGTCGAATAAGTCTGCAATGAGGAGGATCGGGTACTTGTTCTTTATGATCAGCTTGTTCAACGCCCAGTAATCTATGCACATACGGAGGGACCCATCGTGCTTCTTTTGAAATAGAACCGGGGCGCCGAATGGAGCTTTGGACGGCCGAATGTATCCCGCATCGAGTAATTCTTTGAGTTGCTTCCGTAGTTCTTCCAACTCAGGTAGGGCCATGCGATAAGGTGCCATGACCGGTGGTTGAGCATCGGGCACCAGCTCGATCCTATGATCCACCTCTCTTCGAGGCGGCAGCTTCTTGGGCAGCTCAGGTGGCATCACATCTTGGAATGAATCGAGGACGTGGGCCACTTCAGTTGGCACTTCACTCTTCTTGCCCTCGCCTTCCTCATCCTCGACCTTCAGGGGTTGCTAAGATGGTCACCTCGCCCTTGCTTGCTCCTTTCTTGAGCTGTATAGCCGAGAGCATCTTCCGATCGCATCCTGACTCGCGATGGATCGGGACCATGCATTCGCACCACGTGTTCAGAATACAAATACAATCCGCAAAGGGCATTACGCCCGCATTTATACGATCAAGTAATCCTAAACCCAACACAAGATCGTAATCATCAAGGGAGATTACCTCAATGTTTTCCTTGCTGGTCCATGGGCTAAGGTGAAGCTCCACGTCCCTAGCCACACCGCTAGTCGAGACTTCTTTGGAGTTCACTGTTTTGAGCCATCCGGCTCCTCCTTTCTCGACCTGAAGATTTAGCTTCTTCGCGGCCTCTTGGGATATGAAGAGGTCGGATGCACCAGTATCCACGAGCATACTCATCGTGGTATCCCCGATCTTCGAACATCATCCTTTTTGACTCCTTGGCTTTCTTGGCCTTAATGGAACCAAGGATTCGCAGCGAACCCAATCGCGCCTCCTCTCCCGGCTCATCTTCTTTGCATAGGGCCGCCAACTTGCCCCTCTTAGGACATTCCCGAGCCATGTGTGGCCCATCGCAAAAGAAGCACTTAAAGGTGCGTACCTTTCGTTGCCCCCAACCGCTCGACTCCAGTTGGGCCTTAGGTGGTGCCGGTGTTGGCTTGGCTCCATTCGAGCGTTTGTATTTGTTCCGGTCTCCCCCACCATTGGCCCTGTCCCTCAGACGAAAGTCGGGCTTGGCTGAGAACGAAGCTTTAGGTTCCTCTAGGGACTCGGCCACAAAAGTGGCCATCGTGAGATCTTTCACGTTGCACCGCTTGAGCTCTTGTTTGGCCCACGGCTTAAGGCCACTCATGAACTGATGGTACGCCTCCGTGTCATTCATTGACGGGATCTAAAGTAGTAACTCCGAGAACCGCTTCACATATTCACGGACGGTACCTCTTTGTTCAAAGCGCTTCAGCTCGTCGCGAGCTTCCTCCTCCGCATAGGCGGGATAG